TTCGTTGCACACTTTATATAAGATTTCATTCCTTGAGTTTCAGTGGTGTTAGCTTTAATATTTATTTTTTTTCTTTATCGATTTTTCGCCTCTTTCCATTCGATTGTATCTCGAAGGAAGCAAATTCTGGTTTTTATTGTACACCTTGAATTCCGAGATGAGTTTACGAAGTACTTGGTAAAGGGATTAGAGTGAATTAGTAGAATGGAAACGAGTAATTGACACGAAGTTTCACCACCGACGATAAAAAGCCATAAAAACCTTTCAAAACCCATTTGTATAAAGTCAGTACTAAATGTAATAACAGGAGAAACACAAAGTCGAACATAGCAATGATTAATTGACTGCGATAAGTGATATCGAATGACGGAGAGCCAGTTTAAGAAAAAAAGCAACTTGTCTATGGATTAATAATCAGTGAACCGATGGAGGAAGACATTGAAAAAAAATGTTATATAAAGAGTAATTTAGGTACAGCAGGGTGTGAAGCCCTTGAAAATGCTTAGGATAATGTTATCTTATAATAAAAACAAATTGTCCTTTGAATGAAAGAAAAAGGAATAAATATTTAAAATACACAATATTTTGTATTATTTCATAGCCCACGTTAATACAAGATTATAAAGTTATGAAATAATGACAAAAGCGGTTTTTTAAGTTTATAAGAGGCGTAGTACCTTCGCTTATAACTGGTTAAAAAAGAAAACTGTAAGGAAAAAAGGAAACAAGTAATATAACAAGTTTTTTAAGTACATACAAGGTAATTTTATTTTACAGCCGACATACTTTTATAATAATATTCATAATCATCGTAATAGCAATCGTTCAGTTCAACTAATGACAATATTTTTCATCAACAAATCATTTTGTCGAACATTTAAAATATTCATGACTGGATGACTGACGTAGAGAAGACAATATTCAGATTATCTGACATAGCGTAATAATTTAATGCTAAGTACAATCATTGCAACGTATTAAAAGCAACACAATATTTTTTTAAATATAAAACGCATAATTTAAAAGAGGAGACATATGCAGTGTTGCACTGATTCAGTACAAATAAGAAGTATTGCCACTATATATATATAAATATATAGATATCAACATAGTTTTCTTGCAAATATAATCGATATTTATCTAGAAATACCTTTTAACATTTATAACCAAGACGTTACAAGATAATAATGCACCGAACTTGTGACATAATCAAACTGATTTTTATTTAGGGTGCCGCACAGCAAACGGTTCCCTTTAAAAATTAGATGCGCTAGAACAATTTGTACTATACACCTTATTATGATACATACGCGCGCGCGCGCGAAACATGCGTTCTTCGATCTCGATCATACCAGCGGAAAAATATTAAATAGGATACTTTTGTATTTCTGTACAGTAGTAAATGTAAAACTCTATTGGATTACATTTTTAGATTACTATTTAATCGCAAGGTTGTCAATGAGTATATATTCAATATTAATTAAATATGGATGTATATTCCTTTTTTCCTATTGAACGAACAACACTGCCGATATACAATATTATTAAAGGAAAGATTTACTCAACGAAACATTTTATTTGCAATCTGCTATTATCTATCTCTCGTTTTACATAATTCTGTTTTAAGCAGTCTATAATACTGTTGGAAAATACAACTTTGGCATTCTCAGAAAAAGCATAATTCATTGCAGAGACTCGTGGAAAATATATATACACTTGGTTGTATATTTTATTCTGCACATTGAAATATCTTCGTCATTTTTGCTGATATAAAAAAAATATGTTAGGACGACTTTGTTTAGTTCAAAGCTGAGAATATTATGATTCATGTTTTTTTTTCCTTTCTCAAGGTATTTAACGCTATTGTTTGTATATTAACCTCTATTTTTTATAACGCAGCTCCGCGGTGTTCGTCAAGACGAATTCAACGATCTCTGACACTATGATTTTTCAAAACTGCGGTTAATGTGCTTACAATAGCAATGTCTTGTAATACTGGAAGAAAAACGGCCTTGAAAGAAAAAAAATATGAATCATAATATCCTTAGCTTTGAACTAAACAAAGCTGTCCTGGCACATTTTTTGATATCACTAAAAATAATGAAGATATTCCAATGTCCAGGATAAAATAAACACCCTATGTATATATATATATCGTTTAAAAAATTATTTTCAAGTGTCCGCGGCTCACTGCGTTGCCATCAACTAGGTGAACGGAAATCGCAGCTATATGAATTAGAAACTGAATATGAATATTCGTGCAAACATTTTCTAACGATCAACTCATGTTTTACAAGTTTTTTTTAAATTTAAACGACATTAATGTTAACATTATTATTATTAGTATTATATATAGTATTATTATTACCAGGTCTCCCTTTTACGAGTTGTTATAAAAGTAGCAAAATAACTTAATCGAGGCTGAGCGTGTTTTTAAATATGGAAGGCCAGGGATGTAAATAGATATACATATGTTATATATAATGTTATACTCATACTGATAACAGTCCGATGTGCAAGATCGTCAAAAAGATTCGATTAACGCCATTACTCTACTTACGCATATAGAATAAAGTGTTTCAACATGCAACGCAACTTTACATAACACAGATACATTACCAGTGCAGATACAATATAAGTAATAATTGTATATAATGCAATTAAATGTGCATGGCACTGCACTCTTTGAACAAAAACGGTGTCGCATTCGTTTAACATCGAGTGCTTAAATTCATTAATCAAATAAGTGACAATTCATAAATGAGCAATACATTTACCAAACTTAACGTATTCTCGTATCTTACGGCTACAGCAAACTTATTTGGCATTGTTTATATCATCAGTTCTACGGTCTTTGTATTCTTAGGACAGAATAGCGATAAATGTGCACTTTGTGCTGCGAATTACACGTTACAGCTACGATGTTTTATAACATTCTATTATCAATTACAATTCACATGGAAATTCTAACAGTGAAACAGGTAGATTCTGTACTTTTTATTTGCGTGGCAGACATGCTAAACGGAAGAAAAGAGCGAAACTTCAACGCGTGCCACTTGTATATTATACGATTCTCTATCTATAATTATCAGTTAATTTTTATCTCTATTAATCACACCGGAGAAGCTTTAAGAACTCGTTGCATTAATCTCATCGAGGTAATAATAAATCATTGAAAACTCACTACTCGACGAAATTATTGATTTCACGCTTCTCGCAAACAAGCTGCACGTCAATTTAATCCAAGAAGGACTAATTTTCAAATGAATTTCAAACGTGAAACAAAGTCACACCAACATTGAAGTTCTATCAATATGTACCGCGTCGCGATTACACGTACATTCTTGATCTTTTTAAATTATTGATTATATCGTACAAGCACAATCACCATTTGTTTATTTGAGCATTTGAAGCAATAGATGAATATCAAAAAACATGTATAAAAATGAACTCATATGTATATATATATGTATATGTATATATACATACACGAGTTCATTTTTTGTTCTTGATAGCATATATATTTATTATTAACAGTATTTCTTACTTTTTCCTTTTTATCAATAATATGTACTTATAAATAATCTCAATTTCGCACGATTCAAGTATATCTCCAGTTCGTTGTCTCATAAATCCTGATAATTTTGATGACCCACTTCCTCTACCACCACCCTCGCTAAGAGACTTTTTAACGACGCCGTTTCTTATTTTAACAATTATCAACTGAGTACTTTAAGATGTCGTAAAACATAACAAGATCAACACTTTTGTATACGCTTTGTGAGTGTGCAAATGGATGTTAGTCTTTACAAAAAGTTCGCATGCCAAATCTGTTTAACACGTTCTCTTAACACGTGCTTATACAAGGTACTCTCAAGATTCTATTAATTTCTTCCATGTGCAACCAATATCTATGCACTCGACTAATCCACGCGTTCCCAATTATAATAATTGCTTTTTTATTATCTGATTGGACGTGTGCAGGTTCCATGTGCAAAATTGCAGCCTTCTTACCGATATTGTTTTTTTCTTTTCAATTTAATTGTGCTCGATTAATAATGAGATACATTTATATACATCATCTCTATTTTTGATAATAAAAGTGCATTCTTTAAGATTGTACCTTCTTTGCGTTGTCACAGTGTCGCAGATATTCGAATATCGGGCCAACTATCTTCGATAATTACGAGTAATCGATTCGACGAAATTAAAGCTAGTGAATGAGACAGAACGGAACTCGATGGAACTACATAAGAAATTATATTTTCTTTCCTACGGTGTAAACAAACGTAAAAGAATTATAGCAGTACGAGATGATCCAATACGCTGTAAACCTACTGATATATGTATTGGAATTCTCTAATATCGGAGCTGCCGCGTGTGATGCTTAATTCTACCTATTCCTGATTACTGGATGGAGTATGGAATGTGTTACATATATATAATATTGATATATATGTGGTATAAAGCTGCTTAATATTACAGTGTCGTGGCTGTAATATACGATTTAAAAAACACGCATAGCAAGAGTGTCTTTCACTTGTCGTAACGCTTGCTTTCTCCTCTATGTATAATAGATGTTACCGTTTTTGTAAATGAACTTCAAAAATGTTCGAAGCCGATGTATATTTACACTTTGTAATAATTAATATCGCAGAAAGTTACTTTTGTATATTCCTTGTCGTTCACAGTCGCGTCTCTGTTTCTCGTTGGACTGGCCGACAATCGAGTTTATCATTAAGTGTCACGCTGTTACAGCGGTTTCTTAACAATCATAGACTTACATCGCCGTACTCCAAACTCCATTTCTCGTAGGCGGCCAAACTGGCAGGAGACACCGATCTGCGAATTCTTTTTAGCGAATCACGAAAGTCCTGCATCGTGATGTTCCGCACCGAATTCAGATCCAGCTCCTTCACTTGATCTGGATTAAGCTCTGTACAATATCAATAGATCATATTATCTGAACGAAAACACCAACGAGTATTTGGATTTTTTTAACTTTCAACAATAAACCTTTTTCTCTCTCCCACCTGTAGTTTTTTAAGGAAACGCAAATTCTACTTTTATAAATAACAGTTTAATAAATGATAATTTAATAATAAGTATTTTAAACCTTCTAGCTTATCGAAAGAGAGCAGTATGATCAAAAAGATCGAACGCGCGAACCATTAATCTGATCTTTTTCTTGATAATGCTAATTGTGTCCGACAGTTAGACTGTTTGGTCGAAACTCCACTATCCATTCAGTCTCAGTTACGTGCAGAAAGAGAACATAGAACCTGTGCTAGGACCTCACCTCTGATAGGTCCAAGCGCAGCATCTTTTGCCAAGCCGGTCAGATCGCTACCAGAATATCCTTCGGTCAAGATTGCCATGTCGTTCAGTTCTTCCGGTGTCAGCGGACCGTTGTGCTTAGCTAGAAGACGTTTCAATAATATGATTCTAGTTCGTAGATCAGGCAACGTGACGTACACTCGTTTCGTAAATCTTCTTAAAGCAGCCTCATCTAGTTCTTGGGGTCTATTCGTAGCAGCCATAACAAGCACTCTTTCCTCTGGATTACATGGTAACCCATCGAACTCGACTAAAAATTCCGTTTTCAATCGCCTGAATGATAATTGTCGATTAAAAAGATGCCTGAACTATGCTCTTAACGTTTTAGTCCCACGTGAAACCTACCTTGAGGCCTCGTGCTCGTTATCTTTCCGCTCGCTCAACAGTGAATCCACTTCGTCGATAAAGATCACAGATGGCTGTAGTTCCCTTGCTATAGCGAAGAGAGCTCTCACTAATTTTTCCCCTTCGCCAACGTATTTTGACATCAGACTAGCAGCGGATATCGAGAAAAAGGTGGCGTTGCACTGGGTAGCCACAGCACGGGCCAGTAATGTCTTCCCGTTGCCCGGTGGACCAAATAATAGGAGTCCCCTCGCTGGTGTCCTCAAACCAGTGAATAATTCCGGCCTCAACGAGGGTAGGATCACCATTTCCTGTAACGCTTGCTTTGCCGTCTAGACGATAACGAATATATCATACTTTAGATGATTATCCGATATTCAGGAAACTACATACACTCTATATGATAAAAGTATGTAAATTTACTGCGACCAAACCTCTTGGCCAGCTATGTCTTCCCAATGCACAGCTGCACCTCCTTCTAAGATTTCGTCGAGAATAACTTGCGCAAGCTTTGGATCTACACCCTTTAGAATAGGTGCTTTTCTAGTAGGCGTCCCTCTATTACTATTTGTTGCAGTAGGCGTGCCTGGTCTCCTTATAGGCGAACCATTTCCAGGTACAGATAATTGTCTTTTGACAGAGGGTGGCGTGGATGTTGGTTTCACTGGCATGACTCGATGGCAAGATTGCACCGGCGGTGACCTCCCCATGCTTCTGGGCAAGGTTTGACTCTTGCTTATGGCTGTACCGACTCTTTTTCCAGGAACAGATAACTTTCTTCCAGATGCTATAACAACGCGATAGAATTAGCGGGACGCAGGAGATGAGAATTTCAGAACAATATTTACTATCTGTATGCAGAAAAAATTCGAAACAAATCTAACGTGGAGAACTATTGCAAAGAATAAAATACAAGACAAACGTGTTAAAACTCAGTGAATGCTACGGTTAAAATGTAATCAAAGTTAATGGAAAAATGATTTGAAATGCTTTCAACGATTTATGTGTGACAGTGTAAAGAGCAAACATTGTTGATATTTCACAAGTGTATCAGTATATGAAACGTTAAGAATGTATATGTATAATCGCATTAAAGAGTTTCGCACAACATTGAAAACATGTACAAGAATGAATGCATGGATTATTTTCTAAAAAGTAAATGTGTCTTAATCGCAGACAGCTTTGTGTACCATAACATAAAGTAAAATTTTCAAGGTGAAGTTATCGATGTATCTTCAAAGGAATTTTTCAAACAGAAGTTTAAGTTTTTATAAGAAGCAAATCGTCGTGCAAAAGACTAATCTCCCGCTTCTAAATATATCATCTCTGCCTCGTATGCATACATTCGATTTCGGAGAAATAATTAGAACTTATCAAAAACTTGACTCGAATAAATACTATGCTATACAAATAAGAGCAAAACTACTATAAATTTAACAATCGATATAACAACATTTCTACGTTTACCGCTAAACTACATTAAAAAATGGTACAAATGCATATAGTGACAATGGATTAGAAATAACACTTTTAAAGAAGCGACTAGTACAAATATTATGCTAATAGATTTACAAGAAAAGTTTTCATGTAAGCCCAGAACTTCAGACAAACAGTACCTTCAGAATGGGCACAATAGTTTTTTGGTGAGCGTGGCCTTAACTTGGGAATTTGGGTACATGTATTCGGCCCTATATTCACTGTTTGTGTACTGTTTGTGTTCTTTGTATGATTTGTATTTAAAGAAGATCGAGTTGTTTGTAGTGTGTGTAAATTGCGACGAGCCCTCAGATTCTTTCCTGGATGTTCGGTGTCCGCTTTATTTCCAGGACCGTGACACTCATTGGAGATATCCATGTTTTTCAGCTCACACACACTCACTACAAAAAGGAAAAACATTCTCTGCCATGCTGCAGTAGGCTACATAGCTAAGTACTGAATCGAACTCAGAAGTTTCGTCAACTTTTGTTCAGAAATTTTCAAACTATTCGACTAGTATTAAAGTATGGAAATCAGCACGCGAGCGCGCGCGCGGGCGGTCAGCTATTAGAAATGCTGCTATATGAAGTCTGGCTACTAGTTTGTACATTAATATTTGCACCGCTTATGAAAGAATATAATGTGCCAAAAATCAAAAATTGTCAAAGAAAAGGTAATAACGCGCGCATGCGTACACGCACATATACGTTCACACGTAAACACACTCGCTCGCACACCCATACGCGTAAACATTATAAACAATTAACACATGGGCATGCTAAATACATTAATCGTGTATAATTCCTTAAGCTGTTGCCAGAATTCGATCTAATATAAAGGTACTATAATAAGAGGAACACTGTGTTCACGATATTAAGTACTAGTTGTGCGTCTTGTTTGGTGGAAAACTGGAACAGCTCGAGGAATGCGATGCTTATCGATGGTATAAATTTACAAACCAAGGAAGTCGAGTCTGTCCTTTGCCATCGCTAAGTTAGTCCGCATTTTATCGTGCAATCTTTGAGCATGTTCCCATACTTCTCCACGACCACCCGTGCATTCTACGGCAATTCCTTTCTCCAATTCTCCGATACCTTTCTTATAAAGTTCGATCGCCATTTCTTTTTGTCCTGAGAGAAATTATTTTTTATTAGTAAATTCAACGAGAGTAGAAGATACAAATTTAAATACGATACCTTCGTTATCCTCGTCGATTTTCAATGCCTTACTAATAAATTCAAAAGCTCTACGGTGATGGTGCTTTTGTTTTGCGAGTAACGGATCCCCGGGTCCAGGACCCATAGATCTCCTAGGCATTTGAGACATCCCCTCTGTCTCTGTTTGCCCGGAATTATTCCGACTATTATTTAAGATTTCGGCAGACTTCTGACCAACCACGATCTCCAATTGGCAGCTCTGTTTGGAGGTTTGTCTTCGTTGGATCAGTTGAGACGTGGATGTGTACAAATACTTAAACACCACAAATAATTGATAGAGAAGCGTTCTCATAACGTTGAAAAGCAGTATCAAGGGGAAAGAAACAATGTAGAGATTACGTTTGTGTACCGACGGTTGTGGGGTTTCGAGAGACCGGCGAGTGTGATGGCAATGATTGTGGTGATGACTATTACAATTGATAGTGGTCGTGGTTTTGTCGTTATTTTCATTCTTGGTCACGCAAAGCTTTTTCGGCGATTTGGTGCCGAACTTTCGGATCGGACGCCCGCCATCGCTGTAAGACATCTCCTGTTGCGAGCTTTTCAAAATTTGTGTTGCACGAATCGCTCTTGTTATCGTCGAAAACTAATTCAGGCTAAATGATACAGCGGTAGTCCCAACATTGCGAGAACGTAGGGGGAGAGAAACGATTATTAACCAGTCCTACACCATTTTCTTCTTGTCTTTTTCTTTATAAATTGTTGTCGAATCTCGGCGAACCGTCCGTTCGAAAAATTATCGGCGTGCTTTTCGTAAGGATCTTTTTCTTCGAGGAAGACGAGAGAAAAGAACAAGAAGACTCGGAATTCCGAGATACTCGGAATCGATGTGTTTCGAACGAAATCGAGCTGTTCCTAGTCTTCAGCATCGCTTGTTTTGATTCGCGTTTAACTCGAACCATTGATGTATAATAACATCGGTTTGTGGACATTGACGAGCGTCGTTTTATAAAATCACGTACTCGATAATATATACATACAGAAAAAAGTTTGGATTTGGATGCACCTCGATGGGCATAAGTGTATACTCACAGAAGGATAGATTATCTCATGCACATGCGCTCTTCACCGTGATTCCCTTACACATGCGTATATTTAGATGCTCTCTTGTTCGATGAAGATTTCCAGAATTTTATTTCACCTATACACACAAGATTTATTCATTTATAATTATGTATGTATTAGGCTGTGGCCTAATCATGTATGCAATGCGAAGATTGAGGTTAAATGCATATTTATATCTACAGTAATGCACAGATTGCATACAGTTATATTAGAATAATTATCTTATCGCTATATATATATGTTGGCTATGAATAAACCAATTGTAATTGAATCTGCATAAAAAAGAGATGCCATAGACAGTGCTAATCGCTATCTTTCATTTAAGTGAATGTAATTTTCTTAGAAAACTCGACAACTGTAAAGTACTGTTATAAGTATAACCAAAAGCATTAACATTATTATACGTAAAAGATATTTTGCACTTACTAACGCAGGATGTATTTCATGTTCCGTGTGTTACGTACACTGAATGCATTTCCCTAGAGTGGGCAATGACAACTGAATTTTGCAACTATGTAATTGCGTGGACTTTGCTTTCGTGAAAAAATAATCTTGATCTTGATAGTAAAGAACAGTCGATAAAGCTGATTAAATTGCGCGGTTTCCGTAATGAAGACAATAACTGAAGAATAAACAGGTATGTACATGCATGCGTACACCGTATGTAATATCCATATATTGTAACATCCATATATGTATTAGTGGTACGACCAATTACTTTTAAAAAATCCAGTACAATACATCTGAATTCTATGTATTTGAAAACACAGGAAATGGGACAAACGGCAACTGTTCCGCAACGAAGTCTTTATCAATCGATGATAATCCGGTTTCGGCAATTTATTCGTTGTGTTAGTACAGAAGAGTGCCCCACAGAGGGACCTTGCAGCTCGTCGCCGCCATTTTCTTCTTTGGTTCTGCGTTTTACATTCCAGAGATTGCTGCGAGAGCAAGATGTCGTCTGCGAGTGGTGACGAGAGCGAGATTGCTTTAATTGAACCCGGTAAGGAGACGATCATTTCTAAAGAAACCGCATTCGACGTTTTATGGTCACTTCTCGCGTTCCTCTTAATGGTGCGGTTGTACGAACACAGGCAAAATGGTGACGATGCACCCGGCGGTTCGTCGAAGGCCTGTGACCCGCCATTAAAATGAATGGCGTCTTGTACACGCGTGTAACATGTAAATATTCCAGCCGCAAGATAAATGATTCTTATCCCTTTTCTTTCATGTTTGATCCACTTGTCCAGTGCGTCGCACGAGATCGGGCCGTACCCGTAAAACTGCCGTCGTGGCGAAGAAATCGCCCGTAAAGAAACTGCTTGCGAGAGCAACACGTTCGCCCAAAAAAGTCCAGGAAATCGAGGAGGTCGAAGTGCGTAAACCCGACGACAATGCCATAGATAGTTATTTTTCTAGTTGTTCAACTCCTGATTAACAATCTATCGAATGGAAATAATCCGTTGTTGCTATGTTTTTAGGAGGAGGAACCCGTATTCCAAGGTGAAGTTATTATGGAAAGTATTCCAGAGAACGGAGTGCAAAGATTCAGCGACATAATCCAGCAACACCACGAGGATGAATCGTCTATGCTGCAGTTGGAGCTGGACGATTCAACCGATACGGCTGTTCATGAAATCAATATGAATCAGAGTATGCAGATCGAGGAAGATCAAGAAAATATACCTGATTCGGAAACATCCGAGTCACAAATTGTAAGCGATACGCAAACTGTCCTAGAGACGACTTAAATTTATTGTATCGAATAATATTGTTCGTATTCGATGTCGTATTGAATAATTTGATGGCATAATTTTTTGTCAGGATCATACTACCGTGGTGGCAGGTCACATGATCATAGAAGAGGGCAGTATGGACAAGGTGGACATGTTAAATGACCAGGAGCAAATAGATATGGAGGGGCAAGATACAAGTAACGACGACACGAATCAACGTGTCTTAATAGATTTCCAAGAGGTCATAACCGACGATGGCGAGCACATAACACAAGTGACTGAGATTTTAGAGTCTGAGGAAATTGAACCCGAGAACGTTTTAACCGAGGATCCTGGGATCGAAGTCATGGAAGTGGACGATTCTCAACAAGAAGTTACAGAAGTAATAGAGGACGTTACCGAAACATTACCCGATCGGATAGAGACAACGGAAATATCGGAGATTGCTGAGGTGATCGATACCAGCGCAGAGTGTTCACCTCACAGTACTATAAAGAAGACGGAACCGGATACGGAAGCTGTGTCCGAGGACGAGTTGCCAACGGAAGCTGCAGCAAAGGTCTATCGCGATAAACATTTTGGATAGCATATAGCTGCGGGCAGTTCGTTACAGTTATAACTTGTAATTTTTAATCTACAGGAGCCTGAGACGGAGGCTGTGTCCGACGAAGAGTTACCAGCAGCAGCTCCCGCAGACTTGGGAGAAACAGAGTCGGTCTCGGAGGACGAATTACCGCCGGACAGCGAGAAAAAGAAGAAGAGCGGATTAAAGGCAATGAGCAAAACTCCGGAAAAGAAAACCAAAACTGAAGGTGGAAGTAAGTGCGATAAAGTGGAAACTCGTGTGTGAGACTGAGAATGTTCTAATTAATGCATTATATTCATTTCGCAGGTAAACGTAAGTTGAATGCGGAAGGAGAGTATGATCCTAGTTCGCCGACATCTGAAAATAACGATGAGACGCCGGCCAAAAAGGTGGCGCTCTCAACCGAGACGGATGCGGGGGAAAGTAAGCAAGAAACTAAACCAGCATCACCAAAGAAAAAGACTCTACCCGAGCTGGAAAAGTATTGGAAAGCTGTTAACGAAGATCCGTCCGATTTTACGGGGTGGACGTATCTTCTCCAGTACGTTGATCAAGAAGTAAGTAGCAAAGCTTGGAAGTAGTTGCAGAGTTCTTTGGGTATCGGCAAGAGATTTGTAACGGTGTATTACTGGTTTTAGAACGATGCGGAAGCAGCCCGCGAAGCTTATACGAAATTTTTGGAGCGTTATCCATATTGCTACGGTTACTGGAGAAAGTTTGCTGATTACGAGAAGAAGAAGGGCAACCCCGAAAATGTCCAAAGGGTGAGTCGACTCGTTTACCACAGTTATTAGGCTACCTTTCATTATAATATCATTTAATTAACGCAATCTAATGAAAATAGCTCGAGTTAGGAAGACGCGTGGGCAGTGTGCACGCACGTAAATATGGTTTTCCCTTCCAACAGCCTAGCACGTCTTGCGGCACCTATACGACTCTCTCCGTTTACCAAATAGCTAGTTACTTAATTATTCTGCGATATCTACAAATATTATTGCGAACATTACTGTTTTACATAATACCGTTTATACCGATATTCTACATACAAATACGTAAGTCAAGCGAAGGCTAGTTGTTTCAATTTATAGCGATACATTTTATCGTGCAAGAAAATTATGTGTGTGTAATATTTACTGTAAGCATTTGTACACATAGCTTACTACAGAAAGTATTGTAACTTAAGCATAAGATGCGGTATACCTTACTTAATGTAAGTAAGATTGGGTTGGGTGTTAAATCAAAGTCAGAAACAAAGACTTAGGACGTGAACGTGCCAGAGAGGGAGCAAGAAAAAGTGGCGGAAGACACAGAGGCACCCAGATCGGAACACTCCTTGACTTTAAGGTGAATGCACAATGCTCTGCAATCTCTGTGTTAATTAAATACTTTTATTTACAGTACGCGTACGATATGTGAGTATACGTTGCTAAAAAAAACCGTAATGCTTAACGAAAGCTAAAAAAAAGAAATAGGTATAAGTCTACCCGCCACCAGCCCAATCAGTTGTAAACTGTTCTAAATGTGATTGCAAATCGTTACCACAGGTATTCGACCAAGGTTTGAAAGCTATTTCGCTCAGTGTCGACCTTTGGCTGCATTACATCAACCACTGCAAAACTGTCTACGAAAAGGATGAAGAAAAGCTTCGTGAACAATATGAAAGAGCTATTCAAGCATGTGGTCTTGAGTTTAGGTACGAATTCTTTTTCTTCTTCCTCCTCCTCCTCTTCTTCTTCTTCTTCTTCTTCTTCTTCTTCTTCTTCTTCTTCTTGCAAGAAACGTGCGATTGTTTCATTTTCTTCTTGTTTTCAGATCCGATCGTCTTTGGGAAAGTTACATAAAGTGGGAACTCGAAGGCAAACGCCTTAGTAGAGTGACAGCCCTGTACGATAGATTGCTATGCACACCCACACTCGGCTATATCTCTCACTTCGACGCATTTCAAGAATTCGTTTCCTCGAATCTACCAAATCGTATTTTAAGCGTCGATGATTTCCTTGCGCTGCGTGCCGAGGTCAAGGCACTATTGAAGTCCGATGACAATAGCACTACTTCGGCAACAGATGATGCACCACCCGGCGAGGAACCTCCGCCTCATGAACTTCCGCCAACCGACGAAGAGACTCGTGCTATTAGAGAGAAAATAATCAGTAGTCGACGTAAAATGCACAAGGCCAATATTAACGCCGTTGCTGCTAGGTGGTCCTTCGAGGAAGGTGTAAGTATAATTTGAACGCAATCGATGATCGCACGTGTAACGGTTCGAATATTAATTGTCGATCCTTATCAACAGATTAAAAGACCGTATTTCCACGTGAAGCCTCTGGAGCGATGTCAATTAAAAAATTGGAAAGAATATTTGGACTTTGAGATCGAGCAGAAAGATCAGAATCGGATAATCATTCTGTTCGAGAGATGTCTGATAGCGTGTGCTCTATACGACGAGTTCTGGATGCGGGTGAGTTGATTATCTCTTCTTTTTATTGTAATTAATTGTCGGCAAATGTATGCATATCTTCGTTTATTTGCAGTTTGTTCGTTACCTAGAATCGTTAAAGGGCGACAACGTTGAGAAGATAAGGGACGTATATTCCAGAGCATGTACGGTGCATCATCCGAAAAAGCCAAATCTGCACTTGCAGTGGGCGACCTTCGAAGAGGGTCAGGGTAACTTCGAGAAAGCTGCGAACATATTGGAGAATATCGACAACGTGCTACCCAATATGTTGCAAGTAGCATACCGAAGAATAAATTTGGAGCGTAGGCGGGCGGACTTGGACAAAGCTTGTACATTGTATGAAAATTATATTAGCAACAGTAAGAACAGAACGATTGCGAACAACATCGCGGTGAAATACGCACGGTTTCTGTGTAAAGTGAAAAATGACGTGGACAAGGCGATTAAAGTATTACTGAAGGCGACAGAGAAGGACAAGGACAATCCGAGACTCTACTTGCAATTGATCGATTTGGGAATGCAGAGGACTCCCGTCGACACGCAAGAGATCGTAGGATATATGGACATGTTCATAGAACGCGAGCACGCCGACCTTGAACAGCGAGTGCTCTTCGCACAGCGCAAAGTAGAATTCCTCGAAGATTTCAGTCCGGATATTCGGCAAGTGTTGAAGGCGCATGAACAATTCCAGAAATGCATTAAACANTTGCAAGAAACGTGCGATTGTTTCATTTTCTTCTTGTTTTCAGATCCGATCGTCTTTGGGAAAGTTACATAAAGTGGGAACTCGAAGGCAAACGCCTTAGTAGAGTGACAGCCCTGTACGATAGATTGCTATGCACACCCACACTCGGCTATATCTCTCACTTCGACGCATTTCAAGAATTCGTTTCCTCGAATCTACCAAATCGTATTTTAAGCGTCGATGATTTCCTTGCGCTGCGTGCCGAGGTCAAGGCACTATTGAAGTCCGATGACAATAGCACTACTTCGGCAACAGATGATGCACCACCCGGCGAGGAACCTCCGCCTCATGAACTTCCGCCAACCGACGAAGAGACTCGTGCTATTAGAGAGAAAATAATCAGTAGTCGACGTAAAATGCACAAGGCCAATATTAACGCCGTTGCTGCTAGGTGGTCCTTCGAGGAAGGTGTAAGTATAATTTGAACGCAATCGATGATCGCACGTGTAACGGTTCGAATATTAATTGTCGATCCTTATCAACAGATTAAAAGACCGTATTTCCACGTGAAGCCTCTGGAGCGATGTCAATTAAAAAATTGGAAAGAATATTTGGACTTTGAGATCGAGCAGAAAGATCAGAATCGGATAATCATTCTGTTCGAGAGATGTCTGATAGCGTGTGCTCTATACGACGAGTTCTGGATGCGGGTGAGTTGATTATCTCTTCTTTTTATTGTAATTAATTGTCGGCAAATGTATGCATATCTTCGTTTATTTGCAGTTTGTTCGTTACCTAGAATCGTTAAAGGGCGACAACGTTGAGAAGATAAGGGACGTATATTCCAGAGCATGTACGGTGCATCATCCGAAAAAGCCAAATCTGCACTTGCAGTGGGCGACCTTCGAAGAGGGTCAGGGTAACTTCGAGAAAGCTGCGAACATATTGGAGAATATCGACAACGTGCTACCCAATATGTTGCAAGTAGCATACCGAAGAATAAATTTGGAGCGTAGGCGGGCGGACTTGGACAAAGCTTGTACATTGTATGAAAATTATATTAGCAACAGTAAGAACAGAACGATTGCGAACAACATCGCGGTGAAATACGCACGGTTTCTGTGTAAAGTGAAAAATGACGTGGACAAGGCGATTAAAGTATTACTGAAGGCGACAGAGAAGGACAAGGACAATCCGAGACTCTACTTGCAATTGATCGATTTGGGAATGCAGAGGACTCCCGTCGACACGCAAGAGATCGTAGGATATATGGACATGTTCATAGAACGCGAGCACGCCGACCTTGAACAGCGAGTGCTCTTCGCACAGCGCAAAGTAGAATTCCTCGAAGATTTCAGTCCGGATATTCGGCAAGTGTTGAAGGCGCATGAACAATTCCAGAAATGCATTAAACAGGCGAAGGAGCGGAAAAAGACGAAAAGCGACGACACGAAAACGTGAGCATCGCGAGTCCTCCTACCTTGATTAATATTTTTGTAACATTTATTTTTGTAACTCATCCAATAATTATAATTTCGTAGGGATACTTCTCCACCAAAGAAAGTTAAAACTGGAGATCAGTCGAGCATACCGCCCCCGCCATCCGTCAGTTCGCAGTCGTCTTATCAATACAGCAGCGGACCAAGCGGTCCTTATCAGTCGCAACAGCAGTTCCAGAGCAGTCAGTACGGTGGTCAAGGTGGCTACCAGCAGGGCTATCAACAGTATCCGCCCCCGTCGGATCCGAACTATGCCAATTATAATTGGCAATACGGACAAGGTGGACCCCAAGCGTACGGACCTTACAATCAGTGGGGATCTTACAATTATTACTAGTGTAATACAACCGATGTTTTATCTGTACCAGCTTTCAATATGTTACCGTGTCTATTGTACATTTTATTATCCTTGCGTTTCTGTCGTCCGAAAGACGAACGGGAAGGAAGGGAAACGAAATTCTTTAAAGTTCCAAATGACACATCAGTGACCTGACACGAATCCTAACACACGCTACACGTCGGTACCGAAGCCTCCTTTCGATACTACCAACCAAATTTTTTGCATGAATTTCTGTCGTAAACGTATTTCTAAGTATAATGTAGCAGTATCAGTGGATTTACGACTATTGACAAACATACTATTACACGATTGTGACACGATAACATGTAGTAGAGACAGACAAAAAAAAAGGGAAGAATGCCATAACGATACGATGAGTGAAGTGAACTACGTTCAATGCTGTCAGAGTACGTGCTGCGAAACGAGAAAGAGAAAAAATATTTTGTATCTGCATCGAATTCGCACGATACAATGATGCTTTGGTGTTTTATTCCGTGACAGTTGTGTTATTTTTCTCGACGAGGATATAGTAATACTTGGATGTTGGCCCTTGATTTGTAACAAGCATTCTTCTTTACGGCGCGTATTTAGTTTACGATTACCATTAGATTCTAATGTGCGTTAATACGCTTTTTATTAACGTATTAACGTTGATACGTTAATTCGCTTCGAACAACTCCTTAGAAAATATATCTATATAAATAGGGAGAGTAGATTATTCGAGTACACTAGGAAACTCACGTAAGCGTACTTTACGACATATTCACGGGATAAATATTGTTAAACATTTGTCGATACAATTTTTATAAAGGAGCAAATTTAGGAACAGCGACTGGGTTTGTGCTATAACGCGATCAGTTATAGTGGGATGGATTGTTGGTACAAATTAAATTCTGAGTTACAGATGCATGTCACACTTTACGTTGCAATCGCGCGTTTCTATTCGGAGTTGAAATTTTTTTCCGAAAAAAAACGGCCCAAGATACGGGTCGCACTCACATTAAAATACATTGTTTGCGTATGTGAAATTTTATAATTTGCAATAAACGAAACTTTGAAAGTACGCAAATCAATTTTCATCGTAATAATGAATCTTTTGTATTACTTCGAAAAGAAGTAAGGTAATATATTTGTGATTGTCGAAAGAATATAATTTTTAATTTGTAAACGATGTTTAACTTCGTATTATCTGCTAATAAATAATTAACATCTTTTAGCACCACGTTCGTAGAATAACCGATTCTTATAATTCTGTTTATTAAAGGAGAGTAAGTTGGATGTTGTGTGGTCAAGTTATTCAGAAGATATAGAAGATACGGAAAGTATTTGTAACCAGTATTCTTTCTTTTTTTTTTATTACGAAAGCATTGCTAAGCTTCTATGCAATTGCAACAAGTGGAAGTCCTGCGCGCACTTCCATTTCTTATTTATTACAATGTCATGTCGCGGTAACGAAACGTCTCTGAACGTTTCCTCGCACCCTATACGATAATATTTATACCACATGCGTATCGAGTTAGTAAAAAAAAATAATTTCATTTAAGATAAGTTAGATTTCATTAGAGAGACCACCACCATCGAATAATGCGTTTTTATATCATGCTACTAGTGCGGTCGAAGCCTGGAGATTCAGTCCACAGGTACCGTCGCCTCTGTACACTCTATAGTATCCTTGTTCACCCCATCGGGGTCCCCAACTATTCTTTATAATCCAATACGGCAACTCTTTGTTGTGGAAGATAGGATACACTGGAAAAAAGAAAAAGGTCATTTATGGGAACCTTCGCACCTACAGTAATAACACGTTGACCGTTAGTGTAGTGTGGCATATGGTGATCATCTATGATCGGTTTTACAAAATTTCTTTCAAGTGAGTAAAACAAGGCAAATGTTATTTAATATATATCTTATCATTATATCCTAAACATTGGTGGTGGCGATCAACGTGTTAAACCGAATTTCGCATAGAATTATAAACTTGCAAACAAAGAATTAAATCAAAGTCTACTTTTGTTCATATATCGAACAAATGAATTTCGTTAAAAATAGATTTTAATTTACATTTGAATTCAGTGTGTATCGTATGAGATTGTAAAAAGAACCAGTGTTTCTTGGTTAGCGAGTTATTTGAAGTTCAAAGTGCCCAAGCTCTTACCGCTTTTACCGTATCCCACTATTAGAACGCCGTGATCCAAATTTTTCGGGTTGCACATGAATCGGAACGGATGCGAAACCCCGCCGACGTAAAACTGCATAGCATTGGCGTTAATGGCGATAGAGATTGGCCCGTTTTTGACCAACCATTTGGCCATATCTGTTTCATTTGACGAAATGGTTCGAGCATCGACAACTTTCACGACAGCTTTGCTATCGTTGAAGTGACACTTCTCGTTTCTAGCATCGTACGGATAATCAGTTTCCAATTCAAGGCCGCCTAATTGCTCTATGGTTCTATAAGCATTCTCCATTTCCCCTCCACCGCAACCTGAGTCATACTTATCACAATCTACCAATTCCTGTTCGGACAATGACAATAGCTTTCCGTGATTGATCGCGTATTGACTTTCCACGTTACCGGTCACGGAAAATGCCCAGCACGATCCACACGCTCCTTGGTTTTTCACAGGTGTTACGACACGACGGTCACGCCAATCAAATTTCGGTGGCAAATCGATATCCGGTATCTTCGCCTCGAGAAATGGTATCGCGTTTTCGTGTTTCAGGTTAGGTCGGTAACCCAAATAATTAGCTTTGAATTCCTTCGGCGTCAAATCAGCGAACATTGTGATACCATACTTGGCTGTACCCTGCTCGGCGTCCCGCAACTCCTCTATTAGCTTTAGATTTCTTTTAAAAATCTCAAAACGAGATTGCTTCTCCTCGACCGAACTATAGGTCTTGTTGTGCTCTCTCAAGAACTTCTCAAACATGTATTGCTCCTTAATGTCCTCGGCGGCTTCCTCGGCAATCTTCAACATTTTTTTATTATAGTCGACTCCACGCAACATTCGCTTTCGACGATTACTTAGATCACAGTTGATATTGATGTGCGGAGAACCCATGTCTTTCCATGGCTGAGACCATATCGTGAACAGGCATTCCTTGATATCGCTGCCTTCGTTCAATTGGCATTCACCTTTGACACCACGGGGACAAGTGCTAGTGCCCAGTTTAACTTTGATTTTATATAACAATCCTGATACTACTTGTTGGGAAGCCTCCACAATATCTACTATCATAGGCTCGTTAGTGCCTTCGGAATTTTCAGCAAACTTCTGCAGTCCCTTGTTAGCAAGATTTTTTATTTCAGGATCGTTGACATTTACACTATTTGCTACGCCGACAACACCAGATTTTCTTTTCGTTCTTCCCTTCTCTCGTTGGTTGCGTACATTACAATCTATGGTAATTTCTGGAGATCCTTCGTCCACCCATGGTTGCGACCACACAGAAAACAAACATTCCTGGATCTCGCTTCCTTCTTGCAATCGACAATTGTCTTTGACTCCCTTTAGGCAAGTACTTGGACCTACCTTCGCCCTTATTTTATATAGCATTCCAGATACTACCTGTTTCGAAGCTTCAACAATTTCTGCTATGATTGGCTCGTTTGCACCTTGATAGCCTTCTGATAACTTCTTTAAGCCTTTGTTTGCAGCCTCCTGTATTTCTGGATCGTTAACATTTGCGTCCTGCGGTGCACCTGGTATACCAGATTTTCTTTTGATCCTTTCATTGGAGATTAAAAATTCTCCTCCATCATGTACAGACCGTTTTTTCTGGTTGTGTGAATTGCAATTGATTTTAATTTCCGGAGACCCCTTATCTATCCACGGTTGAGACCATACAGAGAACAAACATTCCTGGATTTCACTTCCTTCTTGCAATTGACAATTGTCTTTGACTCCCTTTAGGCAAGTACTTGGACCTACCTTCGCCCTTATTTTATATAGCATTCCAGATACTACTTGCTTCGAAGCTTCAACAATTTCTGCTATGATTGGCTCGTTTGCACCTTGATAGCCTTCTGATAACTTCTTTAAGCCTTTGTTTGCAGCCTCCTGTATTTCTGGATCGTTAACATTTGCGTCCTGCGGTGCACCTGGTATACCAGATTTTCTTTTGATCCTTTCATTGGAGATTAAAAATTCTCCTCCATCATGTACAGACCGTTTTTTCTGGTTGTGTGAATTGCAATTGATTTTAATTTCCGGAGACCCCTTATCTATCCACGGTTGAGACCATACAGAGAACAAACATTCCTGGATCTCGCTTCCTTCTTGCAATCGACAATTGTCTTTGACTCCCTTTAGGCAAGTACTTGGACCTACTTTCGCCTTTATTTTATATAGCATTCCAGATACTACCTGTTTCGAAGCTTCTACAATTTCTGCTATGATTGGCTCGTTTGTGCCTTGATAACCTTCCGATAATTTCTTTAAACCTTTGTTTGCAGCCTCCTGTATTTCTGGATCGTTAACATCCGTGTTCTGCGGTGCACCTCGCATACCAGATTCTCTTTCGATCCTTTCATTGGAGATTAAAAATTCACCTGCATCATGAATAGACCGTTTCTTCTGGTTATGTAAATTGCAATTGATGGTAATTTCTGCAGATCCTTTGTCTACCCATGGTTGAGACCATACAGAAAACAAACATTCCTGAATTTCACTTCCTTCTTGCAATTGACAATTGTCTTTGACTCCCTTTAGGCATGTGCTTGAACCTACCTTCGCCCTTATTTTATATAGTGTTCCAGATACTGTTTGTTTCGAAGCTTCTACAATTTCTGCTATGATTGGCTCGTTTGTGCCTTGATAACCTTCCGATAATTTCTTTAAACCTTTGTTTGCAGCCTCCTGTATTTCTGGATCGTTAACATCCGCGTTCTGCGGTGCACCTGGTATACCAGATTTTCTTTTGATCCTTTCATTGGAGATTAAAAATTCTCCTCCATCATGTACAGACCGTTTTTTCTGGTTGTGTGAATTGCAATTGATTTTAATTTCCGGAGACCCCTTATCTATCCACGGTTGAGACCATACAGAGAACAAACATTCCTGGATTTCACTTCCTTCTTGCAATTGACAATTGTCTTTGACTCCCTTTAGGCAAGTACTTGGACCTACTTTCGCCTTTATTTTATATAGCATTCCAGATACTACCTGTTTCGAAGCTTCTACAATTTCTGCTATGATTGGCTCGTTTGTGCCTTGATAACCTTCCGATAATTTCTTTAAACCTTTGTTTGCAGCCTCCTGTATTTCTGGATCGTTAACATCCGCGTTCTGCGGTGCACCTGGTATACCAGATTTTCTTTTGATCCTTTCATTGGAGATTAAAAATTCTCCTCCATCATGTACAGACCGTTTTTTCTGGTTGTGTGAATTGCAATTGATTTTAACTTCCGGAGACCCCTTATCTATCCACGGTTGAGACCATACAGAGAACAAACATTCCTGGATTTCACTTCCTTCTTGCAATTGACAATTGTCTTTGACTCCCTTTAGGCAAGTACTTGGACCTACTTTCGCCTTTATTTTATATAGCATTCCAGATACTACCTGTTTCGAAGCTTCTACAATTTCTGCTATGATTGGCTCGTTTGTGCCTTGATAACCTTCCGATAATTTCTTTAAACCTTTGTTTGCAGCCTCCTGTATTTCTGGATCGTTAACATCCGCGTTCTGCGGTGCACCTGGTATACCAGATTTTCTTTTGATCCTTTCATTGGAGATTAAAAATTCTCCTCCATCATGTACAGACCGTTTTTTCTGGTTGTGTGAATTGCAATTGATTTTAATTTCCGGAGACCCCTTATCTATCCACGGTTGAGACCATACAGAGAACAAACATTCCTGGATTTCACTTCCTTCTTGCAATTGACAATTGTCTTTGACTCCCTTTAGGCAAGTACTTGGACCTACTTTCGCCTTTATTTTATATAGCATTCCAGATACTACCTGTTTCGAAGCTTCTACAATTTCTGCTATGATTGGCTCGTTTGTGCCTTGATAACCTTCCGATAATTTCTTTAAACCTTTGTTTGCAGCCTCCTGTATTTCTGGATCGTTAACATCCGCGTTCTGCGGTGCACCTGGTATACCAGATTTTCTTTTGATCCTTTCATTGGAGATTAAAAATTCTCCTCCATCATGTACAGACCGTTTTTTCTGGTTGTGTGAATTGCAATTGATTTTAATTTCCGGAGACCCCTTATCTATCCACGGTTGAGACCATACAGAGAACAAACATTCCTGGATTTCACTTCCTTCTTGCAATTGACAATTGTCTTTGACTCCCTTTAGGCAAGTACTTGGACCTACTTTCGCCTTTATTTTATATAGCATTCCAGATACTACCTGTTTCGAAGCTTCTACAATTTCTGCTATGATTGGCTCGTTTGTGCCTTGATAACCTTCCGATAATTTCTTTAAACCTTTGTTTGCAGCCTCCTGTATTTCTGGATCGTTAACATCCGCGTTCTGCGGTGCACCTGGTATACCAGATTTTCTTTTGATCCTTTCATTGGAGATTAAAAATTCTCCTCCATCATGTACAGACCGTTTTTTCTGGTTGTGTGAATTGCAATTGATTTTAATTTCCGGAGACCCCTTATCTATCCACGGTTGAGACCATACAGAGAACAAACATTCCTGGATTTCACTTCCTTCTTGCAATTGACAATTGTCTTTGACTCCCTTTAGGCAAGTACTTGGACCTACTTTCGCCTTTATTTTATATAGCATTCCAGATACTACCTGTTTCGAAGCTTCTACAATTTCTGCTATGATTGGCTCGTTTGTGCCTTGATAACCTTCCGATAATTTCTTTAAACCTTTGTTTGCAGCCTCCTGTATTTCTGGATCGTTAACATCCGCGTTCTGCGGTGCACCTGGTATACCAGATTTTCTTTTGATCCTTTCATTGGAGATTAAAAATTCTCCTCCATCATGTACAGACCGTTTTTTCTGGTTGTGTGAATTGCAATTGATTTTAATTTCCGGAGACCCCTTATCTATCCACGGTTGAGACCATACAGAGAACAAACATTCCTGGATTTCACTTCCTTCTTGCAATTGACAATTGTCTTTGACTCCCTTTAGGCAAGTACTTGGACCTACTTTCGCCTTTATTTTATATAGCATTCCAGATACTACCTGTTTCGAAGCTTCTACAATTTCTGCTATGATTGGCTCGTTTGTGCCTTGATAACCTTCCGATAATTTCTTTAAACCTTTGTTTGCAGCCTCCTGTATTTCTGGATCGTTAACATCCGCGTTCTGCGGTGCACCTGGTATACCAGATTTTCTTTTGATCCTTTCATTGGAGATTAAAAATTCTCCTCCATCATGTACAGACCGTTTTTTCTGGTTGTGTGAATTGCAATTGATTTTAATTTCCGGAGACCCCTTATCTATCCACGGTTGAGACCATACAGAGAACAAACATTCCTGGATTTCACTTCCTTCTTGCAATTGACAATTGTCTTTGACTCCCTTTAGGCAAGTACTTGGACCTACTTTCGCCTTTATTTTATATAGCATTCCAGATACTACCTGTTTCGAAGCTTCTACAATTTCTGCTATGATTGGCTCGTTTGTGCCTTGATAACCTTCCGATAATTTCTTTAAACCTTTGTTTGCAGCCTCCTGTATTTCTGGATCGTTAACATCCGCGTTCTGCGGTGCACCTGGTATACCAGATTTTCTTTTGATCCTTTCATTGGAGATTAAAAATTCTCCTCCATCATGTACAGACCGTTTTTTCTGGTTGTGTGAATTGCAATTGATTTTAATTTCCGGAGACCCCTTATCTATCCACGGTTGAGACCATACAGAGAACAAACATTCCTGGATTTCACTTCCTTCTTGCAATTGACAATTGTCTTTGACTCCCTTTAGGCAAGTACTTGGACCTACTTTCGCCTTTATTTTATATAGCATTCCAGATACTACCTGTTTCGAAGCTTCTACAATTTCTGCTATGATTGGCTCGTTTGTGCCTTGATAACCTTCCGATAATTTCTTTAAACCTTTGTTTGCAGCCTCCTGTATTTCTGGATCGTTAACATCCGCGTTCTGCGGTGCACCTGGTATACCAGATTTTCTTTTGATCCTTTCATTGGAGATTAAAAATTCTCCTCCATCATGTACAGACCGTTTTTTCTGGTTGTGTGAATTGCAATTGATTTTAATTTCCGGAGACCCCTTATCTATCCACGGTTGAGACCATACAGAGAACAAACATTCCTGGATTTCACTTCCTTCTTGCAATTGACAATTGTCTTTGACTCCCTTTAGGCAAGTACTTGGACCTACTTTCGCCTTTATTTTATATAGCATTCCAGATACTACCTGTTTCGAAGCTTCTACAATTTCTGCTATGATTGGCTCGTTTGTGCCTTGATAACCTTCCGATAATTTCTTTAAACCTTTGTTTGCAGCCTCCTGTATTTCTGGATCGTTAACATCCGCGTTCTGCGGTGCACCTGGTATACCAGATTTTCTTTTGATCCTTTCATTGGAGATTAAAAATTCTCCTCCATCATGTACAGACCGTTTTTTCTGGTTGTGTGAATTGCAATTGATTTTAATTTCCGGAGACCCCTTATCTATCCACGGTTGAGACCATACAGAGAACAAACATTCCTGGATTTCACTTCCTTCTTGCAATTGACAATTGTCTTTGACTCCCTTTAGGCAAGTACTTGGACCTACTTTCGCCTTTATTTTATATAGCATTCCAGATACTACCTGTTTCGAAGCTTCTACAATTTCTGCTATGATTGGCTCGTTTGTGCCTTGATAACCTTCCGATAATTTCTTTAAACCTTTGTTTGCAGCCTCCTGTATTTCTGGATCGTTAACATCCGCGTTCTGCGGTGCACCTGGTATACCAGATTTTCTTTTGATCCTTTCATTGGAGATTAAAAATTCTCCTCCATCATGTACAGACCGTTTTTTCTGGTTGTGTGAATTGCAATTGATTTTAATTTCCGGAGACCCCTTATCTATCCACGGTTGAGACCATACAGAGAACAAACATTCCTGGATTTCACTTCCTTCTTGCAATTGACAATTGTCTTTGACTCCCTTTAGGCAAGTACTTGGACCTACTTTCGCCTTTATTTTATATAGCATTCCAGATACTACCTGTTTCGAAGCTTCTACAATTTCTGCTATGATTGGCTCGTTTGTGCCTTGATAACCTTCCGATAATTTCTTTAAACCTTTGTTTGCAGCCTCCTGTATTTCTGGATCGTTAACATCCGCGTTCTGCGGTGCACCTGGTATACCAGATTTTCTTTTGATCCTTTCATTGGAGATTAAAAATTCTCCTCCATCATGTACAGACCGTTTTTTCTGGTTGTGTGAATTGCAATTGATTTTAATTTCCGGAGACCCCTTATCTATCCACGGTTGAGACCATACAGAGAACAAACATTCCTGGATTTCACTTCCTTCTTGCAATTGACAATTGTCTTTGACTCCCTTTAGGCAAGTACTTGGACCTACTTTCGCCTTTATTTTATATAGCATTCCAGATACTACCTGTTTCGAAGCTTCTACAATTTCTGCTATGATTGGCTCGTTTGTGCCTTGATAACCTTCCGATAATTTCTTTAAACCTTTGTTTGCAGCCTCCTGTATTTCTGGATCGTTAACATCCGCGTTCTGCGGTGCACCTGGTATACCAGATTTTCTTTTGATCCTTTCATTGGAGATTAAAAATTCTCCTCCATCATGTACAGACCGTTTTTTCTGGTTGTGTGAATTGCAATTGATTTTAATTTCCGGAGACCCCTTATCTATCCACGGTTGAGACCATACAGAGAACAAACATTCCTGGATTTCACTTCCTTCTTGCAATTGACAATTGTCTTTGACTCCCTTTAGGCAAGTACTTGGACCTACTTTCGCCTTTATTTTATATAGCATTCCAGATACTACCTGTTTCGAAGCTTCTACAATTTCTGCTATGATTGGCTCGTTTGTGCCTTGATAACCTTCCGATAATTTCTTTAAACCTTTGTTTGCAGCCTCCTGTATTTCTGGATCGTTAACATCCGCGTTCTGCGGTGCACCTGGTATACCAGATTTTCTTTTGATCCTTTCATTGGAGATTAAAAATTCTCCTCCGTCATGTACAGACCGTTTTTTCTGGTTGTGTGAATTGCAATTGATTTTAATTTCCGGAGACCCCTTATCTATCCATGGTTGAGACCATATAGAGAACAAACATTCCTGGATTTCACTTCCTTCTTGCAATTGACAATTGTCTTTGACTCCCTTTAGACAAGTACTTGGACCTACTTTTGCCTTTATTTTATATAGCATTCCAGATACTACTTGTTTCGAAGCTTCTACAATCTCGGTTATAATAGGCTCGTTTGCGCCTTGATAGCCCTCTGAGAGTTTCTTCAAACCCTTATTGGCAGCTTCTTGTATCTCTGGATCGTTAACGTTCGTCTTCTCTGGTGCTCCAAGAACTGTTCTCCTATTCCTTTGGAATGTTTCTGATTCATTTACAGTAGGATTTGCCGATACTTTCTTTGATACGATAACTTCTTCTCTAACTTCTTCCCGGTTTGTCTCTGGGCTCGATTTTGCTTCTCTTGTGGGCAGATCAAAGTCTTTCAAAAATTCATTAAAGTCTTTTGCCTTGTCTTCAAATCCTTGAGGTTTCATATTGTCGTCGCTCCTATTCAAGGAAATCTTTACCATGGGATGCTCTGTTACTTCTTGTTGCTCGTGCTCTTCTACTTTGACAGTTGCAGCATTAGTGTAATTGTCAAGAATATTTTTCAAGTTTTCCAATGCTTCAGATTTTTCAAGATCAATTTCTTGTTTTTTAGGAGAAGGTGTTACAAGAGATTCAACACCTAACGTCGAGTAGGGATTAATATTACTTTCAATGTCTATACTGTTGCTCATCGTACAATTGTTTTTTGTTATTCTACGACTAATATGCTGCCAAGGCTGCTCCTCAAACATTATCAAACACGTCTTAACTGGAAGACTTACTTGTACAGAACATTCTGATTGTTCTATCGCATTTTTCAAACAATCAGATTCTCCGATACGTAACAAAATTTGATACTGTATTACGTTGGAGGATGGTGGAACAGCACGAGTTACTTTAATAATATCAATTACTTTGTGTTTGTAATCATTCTGTACGAATTCGTCCATCGACTTAGCAGCTTGCTCTCCGAAAGCAGCCAGACCGGGCAAGTTTGGATTAAGTTCATAAGGACATCCCGGACAATAGTTTGGAGTGGAAGCTCTCATTGCAATAAACGGTTTCTCATTATGATCTCCAGTTTTTTGAATCTCATGATCTAATTCTACGCTTTGATTGGTAGTAATCTGTTTGTCCAAACTTTCAATAATCTCATGCTCCTGAATTTCTTGCACTTGCGCATAAGACGGCTCATCCTGTGGCAATTGGGGATACAGGTACATACATTGGATGGACTCCCGCAAAACATTTATGCCTCCTTGCTCGTGTTGTTTCACCTCTATGGTACATGCTTCTCGTGGACAAGGCTCCAAAGATTCCTTGCACACAGGAGTCAAATCGAACGTGAGTCTATATATTATGTAAGGTGATTCATCCTGAAAATTAGAAGACATATAGATGACCATTAATCGTACGAACGCATATATAGATATACATGGTGTGTCACTTAATAGAACCATTCTACCGTCATCTATCATGCTTCGATTTCATAAAAAGGATAATAATCAATTTGTTCGATAACAAACTTATTATTTCTCGTTACAAATATCAATGGTATAAATTGGAATAGCAATATATGGTGATATAGCTATTGCATATATGTACACAACAGTACATATTATTCGTTTTATAAATGAAATAAAAGTTTACATTGCGTTTAGTCATATGAATTTATTTATCGAATAAGTTGTGGAAAGAACATACCAATTTTTGCGCACTAATCAGGTTACCGCCCTTGTACGTATGATGCGTCGGAGAATCCTCGTTCAATGAATTCAGGGCACTTCGTATTAACGGTTCCGGTACATTTTGCACTGGCTTGTTTCCGGGGCCACAAGATACGAGGATCGAATTCAGGAGAAGCAAAAATAGGAAGTGCGCTGCGCACTTCAGAAAGCCTGCCATCTTCCTGAATGCACGTTGCTGCATTGGTCTTGACTTTGCCTTCCGCTGACGCGGCAGCTGACTCTTCTCTCCGTCCTTTATATGTATATGTATCCACTTCTTTGTATAGCCGAATCAAAGATGCTAATCAATTCATCCACACATTTATGTTTAATCAGTAAACAGCTCGAACGAGAATATTCGTGAAATTAGCCATGGACCGTCGCAGTATGAGTTAATCGTATAATTTCAACGTCTTAAAATAGAAATGAAAGATTGGGTAAAAAAGGGGTAATCGTTCGCGTTAAAAAAACCATGTTTGTGATTTTCATAGGAGGCTCGCAACGTAACGACGCTTACATACACATGCAGAAATGTGTTTTTGTTTATATTAATACCGATAAGATAAATTGTATAACATAGTTTAATAAACTTATGCACACTAAGAGATAATAATACAGGCTTCGGTAATGTGATCAGTATTTAATAAGTATATATGTATAAATATTATAATTTTTATAACATTGTCGAATAATAGAAAAAACACGTAGGGATTTCGAAATATAAATATCCGTTAATTCAAAATATTTTGTTTGCCGTTGCAATGAAACATTACCACACGGTATTGCTTCAGTGCATTAATACATACCAATAAAATATGAAAAATTTATTAATGCTACGACAACGAAGCGTGCTTTTGTCGACAATTATTACCTGACTAACCAAATTTAAGCCATGTAATGGAAAATATTTAAATTTCTGTTCGATAAAATCGATATTAAATAGATATATGTACATCTGTTTACACATTTAACGTTCGACAAAATGTTTTCTTAATTCAAATGGGGTTTTTTTACATAAATCACGGCTCACGACAATGTTCTACGTCGAGAATACATTTATTACTTTCGATTTTTCGATTAAAAATCGAAAATTTTCAAATATTTACACGAGTTCGCGATACTTGCGTTTGAGCTTTCCCGCTGTTTTCAAGGAACGATGCGACCGTTCCTTGATTTCCGGTTGTCAGAAGACCAGCAGCAGCTGTTCCACCGTGTTGATCATCTGAGATAGCTGCGGTGTCCACGAGAAATAGCACGCTTTGACAGCGATAGTGTATTGCCGCTACATGAAACGTCATTGACTTTTATTGGTAAGTAAACGCATCGCTTATTTCGATTTATTTCTACCGAAAATCTTCGTTCGGATACTAAACGTGCGCAAAGTACTACATTGCGGTAAAATTGTTGTATCGATTTTCTGCTTCGTTCTAGCTATCGTTTCACCCGAAGCACGTACTACGCGTTCTTTCAAATTTACCGGAATCGTTATTGTTCCCGTATTCTCTTTTCCTCATTCAAGCTTTCCATCGAGATACTCGGGGAATTTACGCTTCTGTTCAAGCAATGTCCCCTGTCAAACTCGGTTAGGTGTGTTTGCGTCTGACAATGGCAGATATTTCCTCGTTCTTTTCTCCTGTCTCGCAGTCATTCCCTAGTTTCTTTGTTTCTTCTACAGAATCTGTTATATAAAAGTGTCAGATCAAACAAGGAAAAGTAAAAACAATCTCAATATCTGAATAACTCTTTTACGAGTATCATACGGTACATTTTTTATGTTACGTTCTGCTTTATAAATCATATTATTACATTCTGCAGAACACTGTAAGCGACCTATCTAGAAGAATAATCAAACGATGCTTCGGGCTCGTGTTAATAAAACGATGTATCATTTGATATGCACGTATCAGAATTATCAGAGTCATTTACTTTCGGCATGAATACGACTGAATCTTATCGTATTAAATCGCACATGTAGCACGATCGTTTCGGCATTCATTCTCGAGCATTGAACACGTTTCGTGACAGCTTTACGTTCTTTTCACCGATGAACAATTGCTCGTCACGATCAGAAATATCTGTTACGCTGTTTCATTCGTTCGCATTTGACAATCCGCACGAGGGATCGCGTCAATTCTAAATCGAACCGAATGTTTCCGCCTACCTCTATCGATGCGACTCGATTGCCGATCGATAGATGGTGCGAGGCAGCGTCGAAGAAACGACGAAATCTTTATTATCTACTCCATTTAAGATTACATACCTTTCGGTATAATGGCAACGGTGGCGCTTCTGGTCAGTTCTCGTCGGTCGATTTTGCTCCGGGCAGGACCGTACCTACGCAGACTAAATCCGAGCAACGTGCATATTTCGTTGTTACGTTGTTACTATTTTCGTTCTTACGCGGCTGCAATTATAATCGTCGTCGCCGTCGTTAGTTTTTCTTCGGGAATACAACATCAGCTTATACAAAAATCTAAACGAACGAAATTCTATATCTTTTAAGAATCCCATTCGTCGTGGAAAGGTCACGTGGTTTTGTTGTGTTCCGCTCGAAATCGTCCCGACAACCGAGGGAACAGTTGCTTATGTCGTAGCGGAATCATCCAAGAATCGTGCGAACTTATCGAAAAGGTGAGACGATCGATATTTTAATGTATTTCCGCATCTCATGAGTCATGCGTGCGTCATTGTAGTCACGCAGAGACTGGTAGACCATCTTCCGATCGGTGTACGCGAGAGGAAAATACATATTTTTACACGTCACGCACGAATATGTATTTTCAAGCTGTTCTTCGAAAGAAATGATTCCACTCGTGTGTTCCAAGTTCGAAGCAAGAGAATGCTGGTGAATAGCTATAATTTACAAGATGAACCGAAAAATATGTAGGGCACGAAAAGTGGTGATTTTTTGGGCAGATTGTACGACGAACAAGGCAATTCTCACGCTTCGACAGGAATCTTGTAAAACGTTAAATAGAAAAAATAAATATTCGAATTGAAAAAACAAGGAACGCATACGTTTCCTGTTGAAATGGGTCTCGCGAATTCACGACGACTCGCTTGTTCGTCGTGTAAACGCAGCACGCAGCCAACGCTACCGCGGGCACCCGGTATAAACTTGACCTTTGATTCGATGACAGTTTCCGTTAATGATACGTTAACGAAGCCGCGAAGATCATATTTGCTAAGAGAAAAAAGTTGTTTCGAACGTTCTCACGAATCGTCCGTTTCGATAGCTTGTGTTGTTCGCTCGTGCGACAGCAAAGCCTCGCACACAGTCTTCGGCAGGCGCGTCGATTGAAAAGAGAATTCCGTCTTCGGTATAAAAATAGTAATCGGCGGTGGTGTACGTATGAATTCTTTCCTCTCCCTCGCGCCGGCACGACGAAGTTCGTTACATGTATGGATGTATCGAGTGTACGCCGCGTTCCCGCGCCTTTATATCGCAGCTTCGTAATGGCGAGTTTATATTGGCGCTTTCCATTGTCGCGACCGCGACGACGGCGACGGCGAAGACGACGATCCACCCCCACCATCGGGGCGGCTACCGCGCCGAGGCCGCGGCCGCAGCCGAAAGATTCCGAGGCTATGCGACCATTCGCGACTGCGACTGCGACTGCTCAGTGTACTCGGTGCTCACTGCTCGTCGCTCGTTGTCGCCTGGTGTCAGTCGGCTGACTAGCTATTCGAAACTCGCAGGGAAAACTTCGACTGCACGGTCGAGTGCACGGTTCTTCACCGGTTTTTCCACATTCGCTACGTCAGTGATCGGAGTGACAGTTCTCGTTTTCACGTTGGTCGTTCGCATCGACTGAAATCTTTGACCGGCGCGGCGGGGGCACCCGTTGAACGGAACCGTATCGACGAGTCACGGTTAGTAACAATCAGTATGATATAGCATAGTCCCAATAAAGTGTAACCTTCCAGTTTCCACGGTTTCACGACGACCTGGTTAGGAATCTATTCCTTGGAAGTACAGTGTCCACGGAAAAGCTTTCCGAATTTCCGCGAAAGTCTGGCACGCCAATTCTTCGCTCGTTCGCGTTCGATAGATCGTTGCGTGCTCGATACAGATTCAATCGATGCGAGTACAGACCCGAGAAAAGTATTCCTGTGCTTTCTCTCGACAACTGCCTAACTGTAACTGAAACCGTAACCACCCTGTTTACTCGGATCAATTGGCAGGCGTTCAGCTTCTACGAAGTGTAGATTTCGAAATAGTTCTTTCAGTCAGTGGTTCGAGATACGCGGAACATCAGGGATGTACCATTCTCTGGCTACGCTGTGACTGTGACTGTGAATCGAATTGTTTTTCAAACGTGTTCTCGGTCTCGCGCGTGTTTTCCACGCAGAGGTCGCCGGACCTCTCGACTCGAAAGCTCGATCGTGCGATCGGTTCCATGGTGTTTATCGAAGAGCGAATCGAGAGATACGGTTACAAGTACGTTTCTTGACAGCTGCGTTACACGCGCGAAGTTCAGATTAACCTAGATTCAGGCGTTACGCTCGCCGCGAGCCAGCCTTCTTACACTTGACACGTTTATGGTTTTCGAGGGTTGCTCGCGCCCTCGCAACCTACTAAGCCAATTAGCTCCGAGAATACGCGAAATTCTCTCGTTCGGACGTCGAAGAGGAGAGCAGGCTTCAGAACCTGTAACGGATCGACGAGCGCCGGACATTTTTGTCGCACTTTTTCGCAAGCTGGCCGAGGGTTAGGAAAGCGCGTCGCGCGACAATGCGAAAGGGAAATTAGCGAAAGGGCGAACGTATGGCGGGGGTTCGTTTCTCTCGCGACGGTTTCGATTTCCGTGACCAACTTTCGAACGGAAGATGACGTCGACCGAACGTTCCTTCCCACCTTCGAGAGCAGAACCGGCAACTTTATTTATTGATTTTTTAATGCTGGACGTGTATGCGCGCCGTCTAGTTGTCTCTACTTATCCGTCGCGTGCACGTGAGAGCACAGTGGAGGGGAGGGGGGCGGGGAGAGAAAGATGTGCGTACTCTGTTTTCACGGTCGTTATAATCGAACAGATTAAAACGTTCTCGAATTGGGACAAAAATGTTCGGAAATTCTCAAGCTCTCGGAGATCGATTAGAAACGAATTAGAAAAGGTTCTAGGTTATTAGTTTTTGAAATTCACAAGTTCGTCCAGTTCTAACGATATTACGAGTTTGCACAATTATTTAGTCGTTTTTAGCTATTTTCTCGGCAATCTAGGAACGGCATCGTCGTTGCACAGAAAATATATTCTAATATATAATTAATATATAATTATATAATATTGTATAATTATATATTATTACATATTATAATATAATATATATATATTGATATATTATTAATAATTATTATTATAATATAATATATATATATATATATATATATATATATATATATATATATTAATATATTATATAATTAATAATTTTAAATATATTTTCTTCGAATATAAGATAGCTTTCGTACAAATTCGAAACGACGCGTTTGAACGTGTTTACCGCGTACAATTGAAATCGCATCGAGCGCAGATATCGCGGAAAGAAAAATAGTATAAAAGCAAGCGATGGAAATAGGATACTGGGCGTTAATGGGTTGGCACAATGTCACGCAACAAACATCATCAACGCTAGGAAACTATCGGCTAGGTCAAGATTACTTATTTTAGAATTTTCATAGCACAATTATTGAAATCGTAAAAAGCTGCTTTCTGCTGGGATTTACGAGACATTCGTTCGCGTCCTTGGAACGATAAAATTCCACTTGGATTTCCGCGGATACGACCGTCGTGGTTTTTATAAAAAATTCAAAATTCGTTAGCGCAATATGTATCTCATAGTTTAAAAAGCGAGCAATTTGCAATTTGCAATTTGCACCCCCACTCAACCCTTCGCACTCGAGTGGCGACTCTGAGGCACTATTAAAATTGTTACATCACGTTTCAAGATAATTTTTATATTGTAAAAGTTTAGATGCAAAAGATTGTTAAAAGTCTAATTGTTGTACGAGTCGCAAGACTAAATTTCATACGCATAAAATGAACTTTGTCATATAAAATGGAAATACCATAGGTCGGAAAAATTAATTTAGATTTACAGTTAAAATGACTTCGAGTGCGAAGGGTTAAATAAATATTACAACTTTTTCGGAATATCAGTGGAAAAGCGAATAGATTCGATCGTTGCGTAGGGGAACGCTTTGGAGCATTAATTCGTACGCGAGCGACAGTAAATAGCGCGAGCCGTGTATGTATGTACATATACATACATACATAGACATGCATATGTAATTACATAGATACGTATCGACGCGGCCGAGACTTCGATCGCTAGAATTTCAGGTCGTCGACAGTGACAGGCGACTTGGACAGGTTTTTTCAGTGGCAGTAACAGCTGATAGTCATTGATAACGATAACAGAGTGCGCGCGCGCGTGCTACACAAGGTGCGCAAGCGAGAGCACGAGCGATCGCGTTTTTTGGTTTTGTTGTTGATGCGATTATCGGAGGAGGAAACGCTCCAACTCGAAAATATCGACCCGATCGACTCTTCCAACTTGTTCTATACATATTTATTTACGGTTACATTTCGCTGCCTCGTTGTATTATAAATTGTAATCCTCCCGCGCGCTCCAGGGAACTCGTTATCGTCGCGAATCGCGATTCGACTCCGCCTAATGATCGGACTGCGGATCTTTATGCAGATTCGCAGTTCCGGCCGATGGTTGGCGACCTCGTCGACCAGAGACGACTACGTTGCCCGGGTCCGTTTCGACCCTGGCTTTCGAAACCGTAGCCACCCTTCGCCGGAAGCACGCGTTGTACGTAGTTCGACGTCGTGTAGGAATTTTACGAGTTTCAACTTTCGACAGATTTTTGCGACGGAAAGCTGAAAAACTGTTCGCTACAGAGTCAAGTGCACAATAAGTGCACTATCTGTAGAACGATTAAAAGATATTCTTTGTTAGCAGACAGATCAGAATGGATTTATTATTGTTTCACCGTCGCAAGGTTTCATAAGACCGATCGTTTATCGTCACGAACTTCCTTGATTCTTTTGGTTGGTAACGCGACCGGTTGCATAGCCTTGCATTATTGCACGTTGTTATCTCGCTGATACCGAGTACAGTAATGTCTCTCTAATTGACGCTCAGATCGTGCTCTAAAAATGGATTATTTGGGTAGAGGAGCTACGATTATTCGATCCTTGAAGTTCATTTTTATATTAGGTCTACCGGAAAGTTCTGTCTGATAATGTCATTGCAAATTTCAATAGATATGCACATATTCATGTGGGACATATATTTTTGAAAAATGTTGCTCACAAATTGCCATCACGCTGGGAAGAGGTCACAAGTAACGACGGAAATTATATTGTACAATAAATATTACTAAATTTATGAATAATCTATATATTATTTCCTTTCGTTTCTTAAACGGACAGAACTTTCCGGTAGACCTAATAGTTACGAATTGTCAAGAATTATAAGTACGGAGGTGCGAGGCTCGAATAATCGTGCGTCCTCTCCCGAAATTGTCCATTTTTGCGCGCAATCCGAGCGCGAATTAGGGAGACGTTATTGTACCGGGTATACGAAGGTTCGTCCACGTTGCTTTAGGATAGTCTCGGGTCTCGGACTTCCGTCTCGAAGCAACGGACAGTTAGTTATCTAACGTCTTCTCGGTAACGTGCGAGCAAGGATTGCGTAACGAAAGGTGTATCGCTCTTGGTATCTACCTGTGATCGATAGCCCGCGTGCATTCTACGAAAGCCAACCTAATTAGAAACATATCTTTTTACGAGCATAAACATACTTGGTTTCTGTCTCGTAGCCCGCCGTTCCTGCAAATCCTTGAGGAATGAAATTAACTTTGACGTCATTTTTCAATTTTCTCGTCGTGCCAATAAATTGCAATGTTTGAAAACAGTTTTTTGGCCATCGTCTAGTAAACTAATCCCCCTAACATCGAAACAAAAAAAATTAAGATCGCTTGGCCTAATTATAAAAAAAGTTATTCCGTTGTCAAAGGTGTGCGAATACTTCTAATTTATCCACTGTAATTATTGAACCGAAATTATCAAGTTGAAATCGATAATGGTGGATTATAGCAGTGGACGCTGCCATAACTCTTTCGCGTTCTAAAAGCACTTGTAACAATTAATTAATTCCGTCACGATAAAAATGAACGTCTCATGTTATCGTTATTTAAAGATCTGCGCGATCTTCTAGCCGTCGGAAGGAAGATAGCCGTAGGAACGGTCGCGATGCAACTGGAGAGCATGTTTTTTCGGGAGAACTCGCGAGGGCGTGTCGTCGACAGGAGATTCGGGGTCGCGTTCCTTTCGAAATAATGCTCGAGCATGCGATGGTTATCGATTTCCCGCCACCTATTTTCCTCGAACGCTCTTACATTTTCGTTTATCGAACATTGATATCTGTTTGTCGGAGAGAGAAAGAACGAGGGGCGGGGCGGGGGGCGGGCGGTGAGATCAGAGGTCGGCCTCCGTGCGCGGCGCGGCGCGGCGTGCCCTCCGGATGCATCCGACTGGTCGCCCGTGATCTTGACGAGGCGCACCGTGACTCGTGACCAGGAGAAACGGTAGACACGGTACCTTTCACCCTGGAAACGAGCCAACTTCGCCTCGAGGGCAAGGACAGGGGCTCCAGCCAATTGATCACGCCACAACTCGCACCTCGCAACACGCGTTCCGCCGCGTTTCACAGCGGCAAATGTATTTCCGTAATTCGATCGCGGCAACTACTGTTCGGATTCGATCGATCCTTCTTCATCTTAGTCCGGAACGTTCCAAGATCTGTTGTCTGATAATTTTGTAACTTCTATCTAGAAGCATCGAAGGTCGTAAAAATGTAAAACGGACGCGGAGCGAAGCCGATCCGAAGTTACCGAAATCGAAGTTCCGCCCCGAAAAGTTGCCACAGATGGAAATTCCCTCGGAGAGAACCTGGTCGATCGATCTCCCAGTCGTTCGTTCGTTGTCAGGGCGCATCGATCTCGAGCAAACCGTCCCTCCGTTGGTAGAGCGAGAAGAGTTTATTGCCGCGAAGGGCGAGGCGTATATCGGCCTAGAAGCGAGAGGGTGGTCGCCCTGCCCCCCCCCCTCCCCACCCGAAATCATGCTTCGCCGGAATCTCTCGTTTGTCACGCGAACTACGTCTGAAACTTTGGTCGAAAATACGTGACCTCGAACGCTCGTTGGACGAGAACCGCCCATTCATCTCCGAAGCGTAAAAAGTAGTTCGCCGACCGGCCCTAGGATCGACGTCGTTCGATCCAAAACGAAGATAGCAGAATACAGTTATGTCTTCCTTATTGACGCTTAGATTGCGCACGAAAATGGACAATTTGGGAAGAGGAGATGTGATTATTCGAGCCTTGCCGATTAGTTTTTATAGTTACGAATTGTAAAGAACTATAAAAACGAACCGCAAGGCTCGAATAATCGTATCTGCTTTCATCAAATTGTCCATTCTTGTGGACAATCTGAGCGTCAATTGGAGAGACATTACCGTAGTACGCTCCCTCGAATTATTTCGCGTCCGTAGTCTCCGTTCGCGTTGTTATTTAGTCCGAAAAATAGCCCTGGAAAGCGAGAGCAACGAAGCCACGCCCACTCGAGGCATTCCACGCGGATCCAGGCGAGCCAAGAGCGTGGAAACTCGGGTTTTTAGCGGATCAGAATCCGGATGCGTTTCGAAAGTGTTGGCGGAACAACGAAACGACACCCCCTCGAGGGGGTCTGCTCGAAGGGAGCAACGAGGTCGCGCTACTTGAGGCCTGAGGGCCCTTTAACCTCCATTCTCTGCACCCCTGCCGGAAAAAGCAACGAAACCGCGTCACCCTTGGAGCATTTTATCCGCGAGACAGATACTTTTTTGCCAATGTACCCAAGGTTGCAAAAGTTGCCCCGAGGAACTGGTTGTTGATTGGGAGATAAATAAGTTGGGTCTCTAAATAAGATGACTTGCTCCCGGTGGAACCGAATGAAAATTCTCGCAGCTAGATATCCGGTGCGGCTCGCGGCTCGCGGCTCGCGGCTCGCGGCTCGCGGCTCGCGGCGATTCGGAGGTTTCCGGTTTTCTGGCTCGCGTTCCGCCGTGGGACAGAAAGCCGCGGAACAAAACAGCCAGAGCCTCCGGATGGCTCGGAGCGATCTCGTTAACGCATCAAGACCACGCGGTGGCTTCTTAATTGGCACTTGTAAATTTAATCAGGAACACGCGAACCGACGCTGGCGGACGTGTGTTCGTTCCGTGGGAAGCCCAGGGGGGAAGGGGAGGCAGGACGGAACCGCGAAGTCATGCTGCAACAATAACCGTGGCGGTAATTAGGAGCTGAAATCCCGCGCCGGCAGGGCGCCTTCTCGAGCCTGTTCCCAAACTCGCGTCGGGCCGATTAGCTCTGCGGTTATCGCGTAGTTCCGAAGTTTCGAGGAGGCTAGACGAATTCGCGGACTCGTCGCTCGCTGGTCGTTCATTCGTCACCGATTAGTCACCGATTCGTCAGCGGCTCGTCAGCGGCTCTACGCGCGATCGCACTTGTCCGGATTCCGAGTCGATTCAAATTAAAGTGACATCGGTCGGCCGACCTTTCAACAACGCCGCGCAACACCGCGCAACGCCGCGCGTCCCCCCGGTGGGGGAATGTAAACGCAGAGGTGCTTTTTTGTCGCGCGAGGACTATATACAGGATGTCCCAGAAATGTCTCGCGATCCGAAAGTGGCGGGTTCCTCGGGTCGTTCGAAGCAACTTTTTCCTTTAGAAAAATTTTCTCCGAGGCACCGTTAACGAGTTATCAACGAAAAACAGTGACCAACGAGAGGCGAGCTCGGCTGGCGCGCGGCGACCGAGCCAATGAGCGGGACCAGGCTTCGCGCGCTGGTTGGTTGTACTCGATTCTGATTGGTCGCTGCTTTTTCGTTGATAACTCGTTAACGGTGCCTCGGAGAACATTTTTGTAAAGGAAGAAGCTGCTTCGAATGATCCGAGGAACCCGCCACTTTCAGGATTGCGAGACATCTTTGTGACACCTTGTATGTAGGCGACGCGACAGTCTCGAGTGGTAATCGTTCTCGTCGTTAGCTTATGCTCGTTCAAGAGTTGTTTCCAATCGATGCAGAAATTATATTTCGCGACTAGATCTATTCGATTATCTAGGTGTTACTTTTGTTTCTTATTTTTTAAACTTAGTTCTTCGAGACGAACGTCGATCCTCCTAACGAAAACGCTAGTCTTTTTGTATCGAAATTTAACCGCGTTGCGCCGCGTTAGGGTTAACCGGTTCGTTTTCGGGCGAATTCGAATCGCCGAGCAACACGTGGAGCATTCGATCGAAAGAATTACGGTCGACTTTGCGCGTCGAGGTCGCGAAGTTAACGGAATTATACGGCGTACGCGAATGAAACATTTATTCGCGCGCCGGATAATTAGAAAGTTATTCGAGGTGAGAAAGTTAGAGGAGGCTCGAAGTTGTTTGCAAGGTGTCCCGTATAACTCTGCAAACATTTATCTTGTAATTCGACCGGGCACAAACGGATTAAAGTAGTTACGCTCGCCCTTCCGATCCGCGTCGATTCCAACGAACCGGGCTGATAATTCGACTTAACCGTTTGCCTCGCGTCAACAAGTCGGACTCTCGCGGCGCGGATTATGCACGCGATGCAAACGCGCGTTGCATATTTTCGCTTACGCGAATTTACGAACGAGAAAGAAGTCCCAATCGCTGGACTACTGGGCGCAGTAACGTCTTCCTAACCGACGCTCAGATTGTGCAAAATATAATTATTATAATTATAATAATATACAATTACAATATACAATTAATATAATTATAATAATTATACAAAATATAATATAATATATTATTTCTTTCGACGATACGATGCCACGAAACTCACAGACATAACCTAAACCGAACGGAAAAGCTACGATTCATATTAAATAATAGGGTGTCCTGATGCTTTTTGAAGGGAACGTACACGTGCTTGCAAGGGAAGAGGTGAAAACCGCTTGTGCAATTTTTCGTAACCCGAACACCACGTTTCGCGAGAGAAACGGAAAAATCCTCGCGGGAGTGTGCCGCGCGGAAACCCCATCGGTCGTCGCGCCGCTGCGGTGGCCACAGGGTGGCCGCGGATCGTCGAGCGTACACGATTAATCGTTTAATCGTAATGGTACCTTGAATAGTCGCGCGAAAGAGCCGCCGCGCCGGGAGGGTGGGTGGACGCGGTCGCGGACGCATACGCGGCTGGGGGTCCCAGCTGATCGGTTGCTCGCGGGGAGGAGTGGGAGGCGTTGTCGAGGCCTGTAGCAGGCTAGAGCAAAGGAGAGAGAGGGAGCGTAGCCTAGCACAGCTGGCGTTGGCTGCTGGCAGGGTCGAGACGCCGAGAGGGCGGATAATGGGCAACGGGCGAGCGTAACGAGGAGGACGCGGCGATCGCGGTCGCGCGCATGCGCACGATTCGGTCGGTGGGTCGGTGGGTCGGTCGGTCGGTCGGTCGGTCGGTCGGCCGGTCGTCGGGTATTGATTTTCATAGGAGCGGCTACACGCGTAGCTCGTGCACGTAGCATGTCCCGACATGCAGCGACGTCGGCGCCGGCTGCCAGCGACCGGCTGCCTGCTCTCTCTCTCTCTCTCTCTCTCTCTCTCTCTCTCTCTCTCTCTCTCTCTCTGCCGAAATCTCTGCGCGAGATCTCGCAATCCTCGATCCTGCGACCGTGGCGAGCCGGCGATCCCGGCGTCCCTTACGAGAGGCCTACGAGCAGCTCTGCGAGTCCTAACAGGGGAACGCTGCAGGCGTAGATCGCGATCGACTCTCTAACGATAGTCGCTAGGCTCTGGTCCTTTCTAGAGGAAGGAAAGCACGTCGAAAGTACGTCTCCTGTCTGCTGGGTATTAATTCCTCTCGGTCCAGCAGGCAGCGATAAGCTCGCTCCTCTTTCTCTATTCCGCCCGCCTGTGCACGTCTTGCCCGAGACACACCTTCGGTCTCGTTAATTTCACCCCGGACAGACGCGTTTCTTCGAGTCCCATTACCGTAATGGTTCCTATCGCCTCGAGAGGAAGCTTCTCCCTCGCGATACGAGACTAATTCTTCTTTGAACTCGGTCCTGTTGCAGAAGCTTCGAGTGCCCGGGAGCCAGCCCAGCTGCCTTGGGTAGACGCACCGAGATCCAAGAGAGGAGAAGTTCCCGGCTGAAGTTCTCCGAAGGCTCCGAAGGCGGCCGACAAGATGCCTGCACCGACCACACCAGCAGGACCGGCGGAGGGCGGGCCGCCACGCACCGAATTGCAGGAATTGCAGCTGAAGGCAGATCAAACGACAGATGAGGTGCGTGAAATTTACATCGTACAGCGTTGTACAGCGTTCTATTGGGTTGGCAACTAAGTAATTGCCGATTCGTTCGATGAAATAAAAAATTCTTTTTTACTTGGAACGAAGTTTAATCTCTAATGTATTTTCCATTTTGTTCAATGACCTTTTGCCGTCTCTCCGACAACTTGAAAATTCCACGCTCGCAGAAAATCTGATCCTTTTCGGCCAAAAACTGAGTTAAGCGAGATTTTACAGCGTCGTCGTCGTTAAAAGTTTTACCACAAAGGGAGTTGTCCAGGGATCGAAACAAGTGGTAATCCGATGGCGCGAGATCAGGGCTATATGGTGGGTGTAACATCGATTCCCAAGCAGTATTCATCAATTTTTGCCGAGTGGACAAAGACGTGTGCGGCCTAGCATTGTCCTGCTGGAAAATGACACCTTTACGATCGACCAATTCTGGTCGCTTTTCCTTGACCGCTGCATTCAATTTGTCCAGTTGCTAACATTCACGGATAATAAAAAATAACATAATAATAATAATAATAATAATTTT